AGGTATAAGAGTGAAACAGAATGAGTAATGGTAGAAAGGAATATGAAGGTTAAAGAGACTGAATACATCTGCGCCATTGACAACGATTTTGAGCCATGTCACCTATTGTCTCCAGCCATTGATTCTTAGAGTCCCGAGGGCCCCAACCCAGAAGTCTGCATCTCCCTACCTACATGGATTGATGCCATGTTTTTGTTTGGCCACCACCTACTCTTTTCCAACCTGCACCTATATCAGCTAGTAATACCCGTCGGGGGAGGCGATGGCTAGGCATGCGCAGCACGTGACCTAGTCATCTCAATCTATGTAACTTTATAGTCTTTTCGATTGATTCTCCCTCTTTGCCGAACATTCTACGCCCAACGTCAACATTACTTACCTTATTATGCCACCTAACGTGAGAAAGAGATATATACAAGAACTAACAAGACAATATTAGTTGAATATGATGGATCTTGTTCATTGATATTTGGTCGTATTATAATACTATTTTGAGAAAAGCATTTTTAAAAGCGATGGTGTGGTATGTACTATTGATAACATTTATCAGTAGCAGTGAAAGAAACACACAGAAACATAATATAAAGATCAAAAGTAGCACAACACTGATGATCTATGCCAATGATTCATTAAAGATAAGGTGTACATATATATATATATATATATATATATATATATATATATAGAGAGAGAGAGAGAGAGACAGGGTACCAAATTACAAATAAACATTTTTTTGTTTTTACGAGTTGATCACGGTTTGATATCAGTTAGAGAACCATTGAGAACCAGCTACAGGGAGTTCTGGACAGCTGCTTTATCGGCAGCACGCACCCACCACAGGGAGTTCGAACCCAGGACCTTCCGGTTACAAGGCAAGTTCATATACCATTCAGCCACTGGGACCCGATTCAATGGCCAGCCCATGAATTCTAACTTCTACCAATTCGTGATTTAGCGCGACCCCGACCATTGTCGTACGTGGGACATCCATCGCCACACGTGACATCTGGATGGATTTTACTGCTCCCGACTTCTCACTAGAACTCCAGGAAACTCCATCCTGTAGGAAGTCACTCACTATCGAGCATCAGAATAATTTAGTATAGTTTGATTTGTAAGGATTAGTTTTGTATTGACGAGTTGAGGTGCGCAACTAGGATGAAACAGCTGTCCAGTACTCCCTGTGGCTGGTTTTCAATGCTTCTCTAACTGATATCAATCCGTGATCAACTCGTGGAAGCAAAACTAACCCTTACAAACCAAACTATAGAAAAATATTCCTTAACCAAGACGTCGTCTTCTATCATTACAACAGTACATCTCTGTCCAATTTCTACTGCATAATAATAGTCGTATTGTGGTGGTGTGATATAGACAATTCGTGCCAATGGAATACTATCCTTCGACGTCACAGCATTGTATACCTCAATCGGACAAAAACAAGCAAAAGAAACCATAGAGCAATTACTTAGCAACGACGAACACCTCCCACAACAATCAAAAATGCAACACACAAGCTGGATGAACAAGTCAAAGGAACACCTATGGGATCGCCAATATCAGGTTTGATTGCAGAAGCAGTGATGCAAAGGCTCAAAAACATAATTCTACCAAAGATCAAACCCAAGATTTGGATACGTTACGTATACGACACATTTGTAATAATCGAAAGAAAGGAGTTAGATAAAACTCACAACTTAATAAACAACATCTTCAACGACATCAAATTCACAAGAGAAGGGGAATCTAAGAACAAAATCCCATTTTTGGACGTCTTAGTCAAGCGAACAACCACAGGAGATTTAGAATCTCAAGTCTATAGAAAATCAACTTACACAGATCAAATCCTGAATTACAACAGCAACAATTCAATAGCACACTAAAGGAATTGCATACAAACACTATTCAAGAGGGCCAGAACTCATTGCAGCACTCCCACCTCAAGGAAAATTGAAGAAAAATATCTCGTGGACGTCTTCCAAAAGAATGGGTATCCACGAAATTTCATCAAAAGACATATACCCCCAAGCCAACCTATCAAACCAAAAACCCCCAATGAAAGCACAAAGAAAATCGCCTTGCCATGTATAAAGGACATCTCAGAAATCACTACAAGACTCTTCAAACCTTTAGGAATTGACGTCGTACATAAACCAACAAGGTCACTTCACTCAATTCTATGTCAACCAAAAGACTCAACAGCAAAAGTAGATAAAACCAACATCATCTACAAAATAAATTGCATCAACTGAGAAAAACACTACATCGGCCAAAGTGAACGTCCCCTTCGTCTTCGTATCCACGAACATAAGCTAGCCGTCAAAAGACATGATATCCACTCCCTCATATCACTACATACAGACAACCATGGGCATGAATTCGATTGGGACAATGTTCAAATATTATACAGAGGAGACAACAAGAATGCTAGAGAATTTTTAGAAGCTTGGCATTCCAGTGAATCATCAATCATTAGACACATCAAGATTGACAAAATTTATGAACCGATAAGAAAGAAACCTCACACACAACGGGGTCAAAGTTCAAGTCAAAGAAACAGTGAGTGAGAATACAAGTAGCCTAGAAGGTGTGAAAACACATAAAAACAACCAATCACCTCCAAGGTCACCTGGAGAGATGGCTAATAAAGTCGTGGGGAAATCTAAAAGCTCACTTCAAATTGAAGTATGCGCTGAAGATGTCACCTAGTAGGGTGATGAAAGCTTCGCAAATTAACTATCCAGCTCAGAGAACACAACCACATCAAAATACTATTCTCATATATTCCCACAGTTCAATTTGGCATTAGCAACAGAATACGATATATCTATTTGAACACTCTATTTGATGTTAGAGAGACAGAATACTTTCCCAAAGTTCAATACTACATTGGCAACAGAATACTATGTATATTTGAACATTCTATTTCATGTCGTTTAATGTGAACCAAAATCACACTAACCGTGATTGGTTAAATAATACAAACTGCGGTTTGATCAATAGCTTCGGTGTATTTTCTTCTGTTGTTACATTTGGTGTCGCTGCCAGAATAGAAATGAAAATCCCATGGCCTGCAGTTTTGAAGGAGGTTGTTGCGGAGTTGAATGGGGTTCAAGAGCCATCGGCGAACACGCTTTTACTTGGAACGCTGCTGCTGACAGGTCGGTCGAAAGCAGCATATGATAGCGTAAAGCAAACAGAAGGGCCAAGCAACTTGGAAGCCAGTAGTTGAACGCTTGAAGTAGGCGTTTGACAACCCGATGGACAGTGAGCAGGTCATAGAGCAGTTTCGTAGCACAAAGCTGGAAGTTGACAGTGATCCTCTCATATTGGCGCTAACCCTGACAAACCTACTGCGTCAAGCGCTGGTAACACTGAACGAAGATTCTGAGGCACAAACTATCTCAGTTAGTAGCTCAGTTCATGGAGAGTGTTCCAGAACACATATCGCAACAGCTACATCTGATTCACGCCGTACAGCCACTGGACATTGGGGAGCTTGCAAAAGATGACCAGGCAACTATTAAGCATGACGGCTGCGGCGAGGGAGGCACCAAAAGCCAAGCAGTGTGAGCAACAAACTGAAGAGCTGTAGCTTGTGATTTCGGTTTACATCAAATGATATGAAATAGAATGTTCAAATATACATAGTATTCTGTCTCTCTAACATCAAATAGAGTGTTCAAATTGATGTATCGTAGTCTGTTGCTAATGACGAATTGAACTGTGAGAATATGTGAGAATAATATACCGTTGGCATACCACCACCACAGTATAATCTAAATTCATCGGCTCAATGTAAAAGCCTTTCGGATACAACATTCACCAAAGGATATACAAGTATATAAAATAGATATTCGTAAAAGAAAAATAAATTTAGAACAACACATTTAAGCGAACAATATTGTGCTTTCAATTAGATCTCATCAGGCTTAACTCTAATATATATAAGTTTACAAATAAAAATTCAAATATAAACCAATCATGGTGTTTTGTCTATAGGATAATACGATGGTGAATATAAATTGTGCAATTAGTCATAATAGTAGTAATGATAATAATAGTAATAATAATAGTAATAATAAAAATAGTCCTATCAATAATAAGGATGAAAAATGATGCAATCTGTGATAACACGAATAATGAAAAACAGCATGATTAAACAAACAACTGTTCAGGTGGAAGTAAAAAACAAATGAACCGATTAAGTAATGTTAGATTGTAAGGGAAGGAAATGAAACACGTTTATAATGAAGATAAGATTAAGGGATGATAAGAAAGGGGTTGAAAATATAAACAAAGAGTGGTGTAGATGTCATTAGTTGATTATGTCTTAATAGGCCAATGGAGGGATAATGGCTGTACGAACTTTTTTTGAATACATAGTTTAGGTTTAATAGTTCGAATGCCTATCGCCTCAGCTGTGTGCAATAAACGAATACGAAGTCTATTGGAAAGATTCTGTGGGATACGATGAGTTACTTTGAAAGCTCTCGTCTTCTCGATTACATGACCACTATCAATTAAGTGTGACAAAATTGAGCTACGAATTGTTTTTGTCTGTCCTTTACCAAACCACGATGGGAGATGTTCACTAACACGTTGGCTGGCTAAGCTGTCTAGTAGTACGTCCAATATAACTGTCCCTGCAGGTGCAGTTGAATTGATAAATGCACATAGATGTGGCAAAACTATCTAGCTTATCCTTCGTTTGCGTCCCAATCATTCGTCGGCTAGAGAATGACAAACATAGGTGTGCTGCATAAAACGTTCTTCGTATACTCCTTGAAAGTCTTTGGAATAGAATCTCACTTGATAAGTCACCATTAAATTGTAACTTAATAAATAGAGGTTTCTTACGTACAGTCAGAGTTTCCGGTTTTTTCTCCGATATTTTCATATGTTTCTTTATGAAACTACTCGGATAACCCATCTCCATCAAGGAATCGTGAATATATTCAAAATAAATAACAAAAAGGAAAAGTGAAATATAAACTCACCTTTCCCAAAGGATTATGTGGAGTATTCAATAGCAACAATTTGGTTTTTGATGTAATCTTAGATTCCAGCTCCTTCATATTCAATTTCCAACAGTCACTAGTCAATTCTTCGCCAGCATTGACTTCCTATACAAAAAAAATCAAACATTTTAGTGTAGGTTAGGTTAGGTATTTTCATTAAGGTGCTTGTTTATCAACCTGAAATTCCTGGTTTACGATTCGCTGTGTGAGACACACATCGATGGAGTGATTGGATTGGTGAAGAGTTTTCAAACTGGAAAGAAACAGTTTTCCATTTGCTTTTCTGTTTTTAATGAGATTTCTCATACGGAAGAAGGTTAGTAAAGCAATCCCCGACCGATAGCTGCTACCTTGACGTGGTGGTCGGGCTTGCACATTGCGATGATCCAACAAGCTACACTGGCTGGAACCAATGTTCCTGCAGGTCCTACCATGCCAGGAAGGTTGTTAGGATAGCGATTAGACTAAAAGCAGTTACCGGCATAGTGTAAGAATCTTTCTTACACTATGCTGGGGTCTGTTGGCGAAGGCGTACTGTTGGGGAACAGGGTTGTAACAGCAGTGAGGTGTTTCCCTCAGATGACCAGCATACCAGCTATTCTGTCTATCCACTCTGGAGAGGTGGGGTTAGAAAAGGTCGACCCCAAAAATTGTACATCCCCACTCATCCTACGGTGGTCTGTAACCGGCGATAAGTTTACTAATACGGAACCAAACCAAGAAACCAATTCATACAGGCCGTGTGTGACCGGCCTCAAGCAGTTGTTCCCTGGGCTCTGCGGTCACACAACACTAACCCTCTTTCTGTTTCAAGTACCCAAAGAATCAAACAACTTCCACGGTGTGGGCAGCCGGGAAGTAACAACCGCCCACACACTCCCGAAAACACTCCCCAGTAAAGCAATCTACCTGGAAACCAATCAAATCTAACTCTAAACGTTCTATGAGAACAATAAAGAAAGAATGAAAAAAATACAAGCACGCGAAATATACTCAAGAGGTGATGATAAACAGCCAATTGAACATCAGCAACATAAATAATGGGAAAAACAGAACTTCATTTGCACAGCACTTTACAATCTACACTCCGAGACATTTTCAGCAGTTTCTTTTGCAGGGATTTGATTTGCTTCAAGTTCGATCACGACTAGGTACCTGCGGATTGGAAGAAACGTTACTTGTTCAAACTGCCAAACAAAAAGGGACTTAGGTCTATGCAAGAACGCGGAGCGCGACCTTATGCTGCTGTCTATTCCTAACAAAATACTAAGCCGCATCATCCTGGAGAGAATCACGCACGCCAACCTGGATGAAAAGCTTCGACCGGAACAGGCTGGATTCAGAAGAAACAATTCATGCATCGATAAAATCACCACACTATGGATCGTCACTGAACAGAGCTTGAAATGGCAGTCATCTCTCTATCTCAACTTCATCGACTTTGAAAAGGCCATAAACAGCGTCGATTGAGAGGTGATTTGGAAACTGATTCGCTACTACTAAGGGGTGCCGCCAACAAGTATATACCTCATCCAACAGTTGCACGACAATGCTGCATGCCAGGTAATCTACAACGGGAAACTCACCGAATCCTTCGAAGTGAAGACGGGAGTAAGACAAGCTGGCTGCCTACTATCGCCAATGATTTTCTTAATTGCAGTAGATTGGATAATGCGAGAGACAGTGGGCAATGAAGAAACAGGCATAAAATGGACCCACACAAAAACATTTGGAGGATGTAGACTTCGCCGATGATATATGTCTGATTTCCCAAAAACTGGAAGATATGCAAATGAAAAGCAACAAGTTGGTAGAAGAAGCATCAAAGATAGGACTTCAGGTGAACATAGAGAAAGCAGAGGTGATGAAAATTCCTGGCCAACATCAGCAGCAACAACAACAGACAACAATCAGCCAGTATAAACGGGTGACATCTGAAAGAAGCAACCTCCTCTACCACCTACGTGGGAAATGTAGTTTCAATTACAGGCAGACGAAATGAGGATATCATCAAAGCGAGAATCGGGAAATCAAGGCAAGCTTCCACTACTCTCAAGTCTGTATGGAGATCAGTAGCACTCAGCAGGAAAAATAAGATCCGGATTTTCAACTCCAATGTGAAGTCAGTGCTGGTCACTGTACGGACCACAGACTTGACGCCGCAACAGGTCACGGAAGCCACTTCGAACAAACTAAACACCTTCATTAACAGCTGTCTTCGCTCAATACCACTCAATATCAGATGGTTAGAAACAGATCAACAACAGGGATCTCTGGGAACGAACCGACCCAGCAGGAACCAATTGTGCAACAAATATGCAGGAAGAAATCGAGGTGGATTGGCTGGCCATACTCTCAAAAAACAAACCATCTAGTGACATCACCCGCAGTGCAGGCCATCACTCGAGTGGAACCCGAATGAGAAGTGGCGAGTCAGTTGGTCGTCAGTGCAAGGGTGACATGGAGGAGGCGGTGATGTGAAGAGGAGATGAAAGCATGTGGGCAGACGTGAAAACGTTGGCAGAGAACCAAACGCAATGGAGACATGCGGCTGAAGCCCTATGTTCCTCTAAGACTTAAAGGAAACAATAATAATAATTGGTCACGGATTGATGTTAGTTAGAGAATCATTGAAAAATCGACTAGGGAACACTGGACAGTTGTTTCGTCCTAGTTTGGAAACGTTTATCAGTACGCAGCTGCCACGGTCCGGACCAACGACCTTCCAGTTGCACGTTAAGCGCGTATACTATTCAACCACTGGGAACCAACCCAACCATCCGTGAATCCCAACTTCTACCACAACCACCAGCTACTGTCATCAATGAGCATTTGTCACCACATCCGAGCTGGATAGTCGCGGGCTGAAGAGTCCTAAACTAGGATAAAGCAGCTATCCCCAGTAGTCCCTGGTTTTCAATGGTTCTCCAACTGATATCAATCCACGATCAAAATTGGAACTCTTGGATGTAATAGAGAGCTAATCATATTTACTATGCGATATGTTAGTATAATGACTCAATTGTGAGTAACAATGAAATAATTGATACAGGTCAATAGGGTGTCACGGACACAAGTAAAAAGCTTTTTGATCATCACATACATTGAATGAACAAATTACGAGTCAATTGTACAAAACGTGATGTCAATAAGTGCCAAAAAAAAAAAGATTTTCAACAATAATCAAGACTTACAGAGTAGTGAAGAACCATTTAAATGCATATACTATGCTATTTAAATGCTTTTAATACATATCGAAAAGGTTTATAAAACGTTTAGTATTTAGATTTATTTTATGACAGCACAGATTACCAGGTTACGTAAGACCTTCATGGAATACAGTCGACTAATCACTAAAGTATGCTGTTTGAGTGAATATTGATAAGCACTGGAACACCTTGAGCAGCAACCTCCAATTGTTTGGCATGCGATTCGCTCCTGTCAAATGTAATATAATGCTACAGGACTGGACTACATCGACTCAAACCAAGCTTGAAGACAGGTCGGAGTGAAGTGGTGTAGCTGAGCGTGTTGACCACTTCATTTTTTATCTGTTGTGAAGTTACATCGATTGAGAGAGATGTTTAGGACGTGTGTTACGCATGCATGTCTAGCCATCGACAGCCTTCCTTGACGACGTCCAATGTTAGCTGACTGACATAGGATAGATCAGGTTGGAAAAGAGCCAGCTAGTCATGGTCAAACGGAAACATGGCTTCATCAATCAATGAAATTCATAAGAGTCAGTCTAAGGCAAGTAGGGAGGTGTAGACTTGTTGCCTGATGCTCAGAATCAGTGGCTGGAAACAATTGGCGGTATGGATCAAAATCCTCGTTCTCAGTGGTGGCGCAGATGCATTCATTCACTCTTTGTGATTTGTCGTGCCCAATAAGACTTTATTTTTCTTCTATGTTACTACTATTCTTGTTCCTCTCACTCACACTTCTGTTTATTCTCCCTCATTCGATGAATCTCTCTTAGCTCTGTCCTCTTGCTTTGTGTGCTAACAAGGAGGGAGAGTGGGAACTCAAAGTGCAGTCAGTTGGCGCTTCTATATGGGTAAGAGACTTGGCCAGTGCGTCATGAAAAGCATCTTCAGCAGGTTGCAGACTTCTATCCACAACAGCCCTGTTCGCTGGCTATATACACGGAAGATCGAGTGGCCTACCAGAAAGAACTAGCAACAAGAAACTCTGCAGTGAAAAAAAGAACAACCCAAGAACCTATCACTCAACAAATATGTATGATAAAATGGAGATGGATCGGGCACACGACAGTGAGGAGACTGGAGAATGACATCGTGCGCCAGGCCATTGCTCCACTGGAATCCAAATGGGAAGTGACAAGTTGGTCGTCAGTGCGAGGGTTTAGCAACAGTACAGTAAGGATGATTGACTGCGAGGCTCAGTCATTATGAGTACTTCACTCATTTGTGCTGATTGGTTTCCCAGGCCAAAACAACACCACCAAGATCATGTTTCTCTATTAATGATAGACTGCGACGAGTACAGCTATCATGATAGTTCACTCATTTGTGCTGATTGGTTGCTCAAGCCAAAACAACACATGATTTAATCTTTCGGGTACACATGCTTGTGCAGTCTTTGCTTACCAACATCTAGGCTTCGGTGCCGGTCGACTAGTCAGGCCAACCAACACCCACTGGCGTGTCTTAGCACACCAGAACAATATCCGTGCTTCAATTGGGTACATGTTTGAGAATCTTGTAATGATTCTTCCGCAGGTTCACCTACGGAAACCTTGTTACGACTTTTACTTCCTCTAAATAGTCAAGTTAGGTCGTCTTCTCGGCATCAGTCGAGCGGCAAAGCCACTGCAACGACACCAATCCAACGGCTTCACTAAACCATTCAATCAGTAGTAGCGACGGGCGGTGTGCGAGGGTAACATGGAGGAGCTCATTTGTCGGCGAGGAGATGAGAGATTATGGACAATCGTGGACCCAGTTGATTAAGGGGACGTCATCAAATAGAAAAAGGAGAGATGTGTTGTTGAAGCCCTTGTTCCACTCGGAACCCAAGGTAATAATATATATATATATCACAGAGAACATTCATCCAAATAACAAAACACTAACAATAAACAAGAAGACGAAAGCAGCAGCAAAATGTATCACTTACCGGTCTAAGTGGTACATAAACAGGTACACCACCAGCCATTACCGTCATTGGAGTGTAACAATCAAAACTCGGTTCAATAATTATCACCTCATCATCAGGATCAACTAATGCTGAAATAGCTGCATAAAGAGATCCATAAGCTCCAAGAGTAATAATAATCTCTTTCAGTGGATCAATTACTCTATTCGGTGCAAAAGAATCAACTTGAAGATTACCAGATTTAGCATAAATGTCATGATCACATCTAAAGAAATTTGTGTATAACTTGGAGAGTATATTCACTAAACGTGGATGACCCTAAAAGAAAAAAGGAGGGAAAAATATTTGAGTGAAATAATCTTGGATCATATGAATGAATATATATTGCTTCAAACTTATGAAGTGTACATATATGTCTAATGCTAAATACCTCGGTCTAGTTCTATCTTCCCACCTTACTTGGACATCTCATATCCTAATGATTTCTAAGAAAGTGTTCTGTCTTACCTACTGCATTAAGAAACTTAGACAATCTGGAATCACCCAACCACTACTTTCACAATTTGTCAACTCTTGTATCTTACCTATTTATTCTACTTTACTGCTCCCCGTTAGTCTTTCCTGGGCTACTGAAAAAGGACTACACCATCCTGAGGATGTTGAAGGTAGTCAATAGGACTAGTGGTGTAAAACTCAGTCAGCTCGTCACTACTTTACTTGATAGGTCAGAACACATAACCCCTCTATTCCCAACTCTCTCCTTGTATCTCATCAAGTAAAACCAGAAATCAGTATAAAATAATCTATGCTCGTACAACCAAGTACAGGAATTCAACGATACCATACTTGGCCCGTGTTCTAAGTGACAGGGACAATGTTAAGCGTGAAACCTATGACTTGCTTTGTTGTTAATAATCGTAATTTTAGGCTCTTTTATTTCACTCTTATTTTGTATTATATAGTGAACCCCTTCTTAAACATACTTAGCTACCTAAATTATTAACATTGGCTTCCTTTTTTGTACTTTACTCTATTCCTTCTGTTGTGTATCTACTGGTTCCGACTATATTAGCACTATGAGCATTACAAAATTGTCCTGTCATTAACCATCATGTAATTATTAGTCTTGTGGTTGTTTTTTCTTATTTTCTATACTTTTCGGCAATATTAACTGATGATCATTGGTTGTGAACGCCATAGTCACCACCTTAAAAAATTTTGTATTATGCAGGATTACTCACACTACCACCACAAACACTGCATTAGACTTTGGTAGACTTTTTGTACTTTTTCGCATTTACAATTATTTGTGTTTATCCTGTTTTTTTTTTTGCTGTTGGTGTCTTCAGATTTTTTTTGTTTGTTTAATACTTATTTTAAATGTTTGATAAAATTAGATGCAAATATTGTAGATATGTGCTGAAAATTCCACACTGTACCACTAGTACTGTTTCTGGAATAAAGCAAATTATTATTATTATTATATATGTAATAAAATTCTTCGCATTAAATCACTACTACAACTAATTTCATATTAGTTTGTTTATTAGATGTATCACACAAGTGAGTGAAACAGCATTATTACTTACTGGATGACACAGTTTCGAACAAAATCGATTATTGTTCATAATCATATCGTCAATTATAATCACACACGACTTCGAAACTTGAGTTGTTGTTTTTTTTTCACACGTATTTGCAATTGATTCGATAAACAAAGCTTCCATTGTTATCAATCTCTACCTCCCTCCATTCTGTGACATTAGATTCTAAAACTCATCTTATCCCACCCATCCTATTGTATGGTTGTGTGTAATTGCGTGTAGTGAGTAATATAGCTGAACTATTCTCTAGATTTCTTATCTTATTCGGGTCAACTGATCTAGATTTTGCTACTAGATTTTTATGCTCCTAGTCTGACTCAAGTTTCGAAGTCACGTGATTATAATTGACGATATGATTATGAAAAATAAATTTTGTTCGAAACCTTGTCATCCAGTAAACAATAATATTGTTTCACTGTGTGATACATCTAATAAACAAACTAATATGGAATTACTTACTACCACAGTGACCAAGTTTTACACATATATTATTTCTATAGTTGATTTGTAAGGGTTAGTTTTGTTTTTACGAGTTGATCACTGATTGATATCAGTTAGAGAATCATTGAGAACCAGCCACAGGGAGTACTAGACAGCTGTTTCATCAGCCTAGTTTGAGAATCATCGGCAGTACGCACAGACACGTTGATTACTCAATCTTCGTTCATCTAGTCCACATCCAACACATGCAATAGAAATTACTCATCATCCATACCAAAGATATGTGAAAAATACCAATCAAATCAAGGGATGGAAAATAATGGAATTATTATATATGATTATGAATGACAATCATTTATGCTCGAAACCTTGTCATCCATTTGCGAATAATGCATCATCACTGTGTGATATTTAAAATAAACTTATCTAATATGGAATTTGAATAAGGCATTTCACGAGATGATATCGTCATTTCGTAGTTTCTTTACAACCGCTTTACAACTAACATGGCTGGTTCACAATAATAATAATTACTCAGTTAAATAAAAAACAAAAGTACATAGTGGTGACCAATCAAATTTACAATAGGTCAAGTAGTCCATCTTCTTCTTCTTTACTTCGGCTATCTCCTACGGGAGGACGAGCCGGCTTCATGAACATCTCGAATCATCGCTGCCTAGGCGCGGCGATCTGATGAAGAGAGTTCATGAAGTTTCATGGGAATTTGGTATGAGTGATTTCCCCAGAATCGCTCGGCCTTTTGTTTGAGAGTGCAGCTCTAGCCTTTACACAACCGAGTGTGACCTACAAGGCAGTAGGAGTGGAGTAGGGAGTCCACTATCCATTGGCAGCCGGTGACCGGAGTTCGGTTCATACGCCTTTTTGAATGGGGCCAGACATCCAGGACATCCAACAAGCCCTTTGTCCATACGTCTGCCGGTGAGCTCCAGTGAGCTTCGTACACCAGTCGTTGGAGGTTTGGAATCAGGGTTTAGCCATCTCCCCTAGACTGTCATCCAATGGACAGTCAACCCGGTGAAGAGCGCCGGGCATCCGCTTTCGGGCTCTCACTTTGGTGAAAAACACCTCCGCCACGTGAAGGCAGTGAGTAGGACTTCCTCAGGAGAGGCTATGTAAGACGCCTGGTCATATGGGAGCATGGTAGGCGAAGACTGAAGTTTATTGTTTTTTGTACACACAGTTAAGGCTGTATGTGATTAATTTTTTTTAATTTTTTTTATTTTGATTACAGCTTGATTCCACACCGTATTTTCAGTACAAGTATGGAATTTTCAGCATGGATATCGGTAGCCCAAATTTTGCAGGCCGACCATAGATATTGGGTGTGCACCGGCAGGGGATCGAACCCCAGACCATGTGCATGGTCGGCGAGAGTCCTAACCACTGTGCCACCGACGCACATTAATCCCCAAAAGTGCTTCCATCACCTTCAATAACAACAGACTTCAATCTTCGCCTACTATGGACTACTTGACCTATCTAAATATGATTGGTCATTAGTATGTACTTTTGTTTTTTATATAACTGAGTAATTGTCATGAACTTTATTTTATTTTATTATTGTTGTTATCCATGTTAGTTGTAAAGCGGTTGTAAAGAAACTACGAAATGACGATATCATCTAGCGGTGAAATTTGTCTTCTTAATGCCTTATTCAAATTTATCACAGGAGGACTAATTACTTTAATATGGAATTATATAAACGCAGTCGGAAAGTTGTGTGTGGTGTGTGAGAGAGAGAAAGTACCTTGATATGATTATGAGCTGCAATAAATTGTGCTCAATACCTGATCGATCATCAATAAATATTACCGCATAACTATGTAATAGAATTATACTCTACCACCACCACCACCATCACAATGCCAAAGATCTTTTCCTGCATGATCGGAAATACGGTTCGGATTCAAGGAGAATTCCCTTGTTATGCATCAGTGACTATAATAAGTTAACAATAGCCATGGACTGAGATGGTTAGGACATGTGTTACGCATACCTAGCCATCGCCTCTCCTCGACAACGGGTAGAGTTAGATGACATAAGGCTGGAAACGAGCTATTGGTGGTCAAACCAGAACATGACCTCATCAGTTAATGAAAGCCACAATAGTTAGTTTAAGCCAGCACCACGCAGGCAGATGTAGACTGGCTTCCTGACTGGTTGGGGTCCTCCGGACGGTAAACACCAATGACGGGCTGGAGACAATCGGTGATATGGCTCAAAATCGTTCTCAACGGCGCAGATGCATCCACTCCTTGTGACTTATGATCTCCAATGAAACTATATTGTTCTTCGTTATTACTATTCCTTTGTCTCACATCCCTGTCTACTGTCTCTATTATGCATTTCTTCTACTTTCTTCTCTTGCTTTGTGTGCTACAAGGAGGGAGTGTGGCGACTTGAACTGCTGCACATCGGTGCAAAGTTCTATGTTGAAAACAGACAGACAAACGACAACAAGAATCATCATTAAGTATTTTTAATTAGACAGTCTTCTTTCATATAATAATAATAATAGTGGGAAGCCGTGACCAGTAGGGTACAGCAGGTTGAAGATGAGGCAGTAACTCATCGAAGAAGACATTGCGAAATGGTCGCGCTATGTCGTGAATTCTTGGCAGAAGTTAGAATTCATCGACCATTGGATCGGGTCCCAGTGGCTCAATGGTCTACGAGCTCGCCATGTAACCAGAAGATCCTGGGTTCGAACCTCGCAGTGTGGGTGTGTACTGATGAAGAGTGCTAAACTAGGACGAAACAGTTGTCCAGTACTCCTCGCAGGTTTTCCAGTGGTTCTCTAACTGATGTCAGCTCATGATGAAATGCTCTATGAAATAATAATAATAATAATCAAAGGATAATAGAATATTGCTCACTTACCATGGATCTAGTATACTGATGTAAGAGTGGATTTACATCAGGTTTTCCTAGAATGCTTAAACTTTCGAGAACATGTTGTTTCGGTAGAATGTCTGGAAACCCCTGAATAATGAAAAATAAATATATAAACTTATCAAATGCATAAATAATATATCTTAGAACATACTATCAACACGTTTATTTAATTGAAAACACACTACAGTGATTAATGAAGAGATTGAAAGATTAAACCTGTGCATCTCATCAGATGAGTTTATTTCTTTAAACTAGGAATATAAAGAAAGTAGCTACGTTTATCATAACAAGCATGTACTATAAACACATCGATTATAATAATAGGATATATATATATATATGTACATGTCTAAACTTTTGATTTCTAAATAATGAGTCCGGGATACATGACATCTAGCGTCGACAGAAGGACGTGTATACTGCACACTTGCAGTTCACTACGTCATCCTTTATGGCTATCAGTGAGATGCGGCCATTGAGTGTGAAAGACATTGACCATAGGTGTCTGTATTCTATCTACCGTCTTAGGTTGTACTTGTAATAGGGTGAGTGATACTGAAGTTAAGCTTCGGTCGGAGATAGATTGTAAACGCCTGTGTCAACATACAGCTAACCGGCCTATTCATTTTCCTTAATTCAATAGCCATATCTCACTGACAGCCATAAGAGATGACGTAGAGAACTGCAAGTGTGCAGTACACACGTCCTTTGATCGATAGCCAACCTATATCAAGTCTACTAAGCCAGAAATGGCGGAGGTTGGCATATGTCAAACGAGCCTTCTGTATCCGTGCTGAGATTTCGTCAGCGATCAACCCGTTGGGGCTGGCAGAAGCAACTTCCCATATAAGTGAAGTGGTCAACACGCTCAGCCACCACTTCACTCCCTATTTCTAAGCTAGGGGTGGGTCAATGTAGTCCAGTCCTGTAGCATCATCTTACATTTGATAGCAGAAGCGCGCGAATCACATGTGACAAACATTTGAAGATCGCTTTCTGACCATGGTGTTCAGAAGACTGCATGTTGTCAGCATCTTCACCTAGGAGGGAGGACTATATCATCTTCATATTGTAAGTCAAAGAGATTATTCCCTGATGGTAACAAGTCAATCCTTGAGTCTTTGGGGTTTAGCACACACAATCAAAGATTTCAGATAACTCTCTTTATAGAATCGGATTATTAAATGTATAGATTGGAAAAAACTCTACATAGGTAAATCAAAATCGGCAAGTTACTGATCTTAATTCAATAAAATAAAATTGAAAACATTTAAAAGATAGATTTCACTCTTTTTCTTTTTTGTTTCTTCAAAAAACAGCAACACATTACCTGCCCCAAGTTGACTGGCTTGTATTTGGCAACTGCATGATTAATTTCAACCCTGAATAGATCAATTCCATGAGAGAGAGAGAGAGAGAGAGAAAATTAATAACAGGATGGTTAGCGCGTGTTCGATTCATGATTATTCTTGTTGTGTTCACTGATATGATATGTACACTCTCTTATAGTCGGATTATAATTAAAAAAAGTTTAAGAACACCTCTCAGTTTAGCTGAGCAAAGCAGAGGAGTTTTATTATTATTATTATTGTTTCCTTTAATTCCTAGAGGAACATAGGGCTTCAGCCATGCGTCTCCATTGCGTTCGGTTCTCTGCTACAGTCTTCACCTGGCTCCAAGTCTGCCCACACGTTTTCATCTCCTCTTCACATCACCTCCTCCAAGTCACCCCACCTTCGCACTGACGACCAACTCGCCGCTTCCCTTTCGGGTTCCACTCGAGCAATGGCTTGTCTAGTGATGTCACTTGATGGTTTTCCTCAGAGTATGGCCAATCCATCTCCATTTTTCCTGCCTATTTGTTTCACAATCGGTTCCTGTTGCTGATCTTTTCTGGCCGGCCATCTGATCTTGAGTATTGAGCGAAGACAACTGTTAATGAAGGTCTGTAGTTTGTTTGAGATGCTCTTTATGACGCGCAGTGCAAGTCTCTGATCCGTATAGTGAGTAGCACTGACTTCACATTGGAGTTGAAAATCCGGATCTTATTTTTGATGCTGAGTGCTGTTGACCTCCACACAGACTTGAGAGTAATGAAAGCTTGTCTTGCTTTTCCGATTCTTGCTTTGATATCCTCGTCAGTTCCGTCTGCCTGTAGTTGAAACGATGCTTCCCAGGTAGGTAGGTAAAAGAGGTTGTTTCTTTCAGGTTCCTCCCATTTATGCTGATTGTTGTCTGTTGTTGTTGTTGGTGGTGGTGCTGTTGGCCAGGAATCTTCATCACCTCTGTTTTATCTATGTTCACCTGAAGTCCTATCTTTGATGCTTCTTCTGCGAACTTGTTACTTTTCACCTGCATATCTTCCAGTTTTTGGGAAATCAGACATATATCACTAGCGAAATCCAGATCCTCCAAGTTTTTTATGTGGGTCCATTTTATGCATGACAATTACTCAGTTATATGAAACAGAAGTACATACCAATGACCAATCATATTAAAATAGGTCAAGTAGTCCATTGTAGGCGAAGGTTAAAGTCCATTGTTTTTTGTATACATATTTTAGGCTGTATGTGATCGATCCAAAGTGCTTCCATCACCTTCAGTAATCTTGAATTAGAGTTATGGGAAATAATTGTGAAACAGTCATTAATATTGATTGATTTTTTGACCTGACACTAATAAGTGCTTTGCAATGGATGATGATGCTGGATTTCTATTGAGATTAATTGCATTGGAATTTTCTGTGTTTATTTAATAACCATTTTGGAACATGTTCTTTTCGACGACCATATTGGAACATTCTATTGGTTCTACCTATATAGGTGTGTGCCACCGCAACTGCAGGTGAACTTATAGATACAGTTTGAAGTAGAGTGCACAGAATTTCGTCCTTTAATGGTAGGTAGGTAGGTGCAGGGATGAAAAATGTTCGGCATGTGTGAAGGAAAGAGATGCGGCGTAAAATGTGTGTTTTGGATGTCTGATCAAAGTCTTTGAGCTAGCTGTCAACTGCATCATATGATGATGGATAGTAGTAGGTTAATAAAGATAGCTTTTTTTTGATACAGAAGCTGCCTTTTTTCAAGATATGCTTTTGTGATACAGCAAATGAAGAGAAGTAAGTATCTTGTAGTTGTACGCTTACAATCAGGTTTATAAACAACAACTCGGTTTTTGTCGAGATTATTTGTGCCAGTGGTTAGCGGTTTCCAGAAGTCTAAAACAACTTGCATTACTCAGCAGTCTACTTGGAGGATCTGAACTTCGCCGATGATATATGCCTGATTTCCCAAAAACTAGAAGATATGCAGATGAAAAGTAACAAGTTGGCAGAAGAAGCATCAAAGATAGGACTTCAGGTGAACATAGATAAAACAGAGGTGATGAAGATTCCTGGCCAACACCACCACCAACAACAAAAACAACAGACAACAAACAGCATAAATCGGAGGAACCTGAAAGAAACAACCTCTTTTACCTAATTACCTGGGAAGCATCGTTTCAACTACAGACGGACGGAACTGACGAGGATATCAAAGCAAGAATCGGAAAAGCAAGACAGGCTTTCATTACCCTGAAGTCTGTGTGGAGGTCAACAGCACTCAGCATCAAAAATAACATCCGGATTTTCAACTCCAATGTGAAGTCAGTGCTTCTCACTATACGGACCAGAGACTTGGTGCCGCAACACGTGATGAAGGCCACTTCGAACACCTTCATCAACAGCTGTCTTCACTAAATACCACTCAATATCAGATGGTTAGAAACAGATCAACAACAGGGAACTATGGGAGTGAGCCGACCCAGCAGGAACCAATTGTGCAACAAATATGCAGGAAGAAATCGACTTGGATTGGCTGGCCATACTCTCAAAAAACAAACCATCTAGTGACATCACCCGCAGTACAGGTCATCACTCGAGTGGAACCCGAATGGGAAGTGGCGAGTCAGTTGGTCGTCAGTGCAAGGGTGGTACATGGAGAAGGCGGTGATGTGAAAAGGAGATGAAAGCATGTGGGCAGACGCGGAACCAGGTGAAAAGGTTTGCAGAGAACCGAACGCAATGGAGATATGCGGCTGAAGGCCTATGTTCCTCTAGGAATTAAAGGAAACATATAAATTAATTCTATTTTATTATTGTCAGCTATGCTAGTTGTGAAGCGATTGTTATTAAACTAAAGAATGACGATATCATCTCGCGAAATTTGTCTTCTGAATGCCTTAGTCATGTGTACATTCCTTAGCGTAAAAGAGAAGTTTGACTCACTCCATCGGTGGACAGGTTTGACCATAAAAGTTGTCAACTCAATACATCTTATTAAAAGACTCTCAATCACAGCTATTTTCTTGAATAATAATAATTTATGATGACCTCTAAACTATTAAATCATATTTACAATATTTATATATCATCATGAACTATCATTGGTTAACGAATCATTGAAAAACCTGGGAGTTAACTGGGCAATTAACTGTTTCGTCCTCCTTCGGGACTCTCCATCAGTATGCAACCACCAACGGGGTTTGAACCCAGGACATTCTTGTTATGAGGAGAGCTTATAGACCATTAAGTCACTGGGACCCGATCCGCTATTGGTCACGCTATGTCGTGAATTATTCGCAGAAGTAGGAATTCATCGATTGGCCATTTGGATCGGGTTGGGTCCCAGTGGCTTAATGGTTTACGAGCCTACCTTCTTGTAACCGAAAGGTCCTGGGTCCGAACCCCCTTGTAGTAGCGGGTAAGCACTGATGAAGAGCCCCAACCTAGGACGAAACAGCTGTCCAGTACTCCCTGCAGGTTTTTTAATGGTTCTCTAACCAATGTGTCAGCTCATGATGAAATCCTCAAAACAATATCAAAGAAAATTCCTACAAAACCAATATACTTGAAGGTTAATCTTTAAACAAAACTGATATTTAATTATTTGAAATTATTTCAAAATATCATACAAGTAATAGAAGTAAAACAAAAAAAATGATTACCAAATACTGGGTTTCTGTTTCAAAATACGCGCAGCTGGAGTAATCATAGCAGATCGTGTTTCATTCAGCATAGTCGTCGTTATAGCTTGCCTTCAATCTAAAAAAGAAGCAGAAATTGTGAAAGGAGAGGGGGGAAATAGGGGTCATAGATTTCATTTTCCTAACGACAAAACATCTAGAAAACTAAGCAAGCAGGTGATCATTACAATAATAATTTACAAAAAAAATTATAATTCATACAGCTCATCTGGAAGACAGATAATTTCACCGTGAAGGGTCTGATAAAACAGTACGACAGTAACAAGGAACACCCTTAAACAGTATTTTTTTTATTACAGCTTGATGCCACACCGTATTTTCAGTACAAGTATGGAATTTTCAGCATGGATATCGGTAGCCCAAATTTTGCAGGCCGACCATGGATATCGGGTGTGCACCGGCAGAGTATCGAACCCCGGACTATGTGCATGGTCGGCGAGTGTCCTAACCACTGTGCCACCGACGCATAGCGGTAAGGACGCTCGCCGACCATGCACATGGTCCGTGGTTAGATCCCCGGCCGGCGCACTCCTTTACCTCGCCAAGCCAGAATTAAAAAGTTGGTGAAGAGGAAAGGTTGGGAATGAGACTAGTAACCCCATCCTGTAAAAATAAACCCTGCTACAGAAACTTCAAGCTAGTTGCTTGAAGCCCTATGTTCCACTGGGAACGTGAAGGAATAAAAAAGAAACAGTGTTATACAGCAATATCAACTGATGACTACGTTTCGAGCACAAACTATTGCCGCTCATAATCATATCAAGTCACTCACACAACTATTTCCTCATTTATATACATGAGTGGAATTGATGATTTTTTTTATTCCTTCACGTTTCCAGTGGAACATAGGGCGTCTTCAAGCTAGAGGCTTGAAGTTTCTGTAGCACAGTGTTTATTTTTACAGGATGGGGTTGCTAGCCAGCCTCATGCCCAACCTTTCCTCTTTACCAGCTTTTATTCCTGGCTTAGCGAGGTGAAGGAGTGCGTTGGTGGCCAGGGATCGAACACCGGACCATGTGTATGGTCGACGAGCGCCCTAACTGCTGTGCCACCGACGCATTTGAATAAAAATCAATATAGGATAATGTACATTCAGAAATAATAATATCAGTCTTACAAATCCAGTACAATCAAATGGGAAATAAGACGAGTGCTTTTATAGTAAAAATAATTAACTTGTTAGAATATTATTCTAATTTGACTGGCAATAATATCTTCCATATCTCTGGTATTTGCATTGAGTCATTTCTGTTGCATGTGTCGGGTGTAGACTCAATGAACCAGGATTCAGTAATCAATCTCTCTATCTCTCTCTCCACCTACTTATATTACTTCTTAGAATTTTAACCGTCTCCCATCCACCATATTGTGTGGTTGTGTGTTAAAGCGTGAAGTGCAATTGCTGAGCTTTCTTCTAAATTACTTATCTTCTCGGGTGGGGTCAACCATTCTTACCTTAGCTAAATTCATATGTTCCGACAATCTGACTACCCCCGACCTATTAGTTTGACCTGTGTACTGGATTGATAACACTCATATTATTATTTCTGAATGTACATTATCTTATATTACTGATTTTATTCAAATGTCTAATGATCAATTTCATTCATGTACATAAATGAAGTAAAAAGTTGTGAGTAGTGACTTGATATGATTATGAGTGGCAATAATTTGTGCTCGAAACGTAGTCATCAGTTAATATTACTGTATAACAACACTGTGTGACTTATCAAAATAAAATCCTATCCATAATGGAGTTATACTCTACCACCACAGTGCCCAAGTTTTATACTTATATCAATAATACACGTGAATTTTTACCCAGTGCGATATGATTGCAATTAATGTTTGGTACCTCTTTTGTTTAGGCTTGATTAAGATGCGTCAACTTCAACTGATGCATATCTGTGTGATGAAACGTCACAATGATTCATCAATGTCGATGCAATGTCCACTTGTTTCTTCCGATCTCACCATCTACTGCATCTCACACACAGATGGAATCAGATAAGTCTATTAGAATGAATCAGGTTGGATAGAATTAAGTCTGCACCAAAGAAAGGAGGACTAGACACGTCGCACTAGTTACAAGTGTCCAATCAAAGTATCCACTACACTCCTACAGGAGGTCAATCGCGAGCCAGCCCGAATAGCAACTCAGTGGTAACGTCTCTGACTGCAGGCGGCACTGGGTGACGAGGGTTCGAATCTCAGAAGCAGAGACATGAGTTCCTTCACGGCAATTGCAGATACGCCTTGCTGACTGACTGGTGAGTGTCAACTAGCACGAGACCTAGGTCCAAGGCTTCCTGTGGCCGATTGCCTCCAACTATCTAATAACATCAAACAATTTGTTAACCTCTAGTTTCAAGCAATATAACTGTATATCAGCAGCTACTTGTCTCGATAACGATCTGATTTACTTTATAAATACAAATTTACTGTTTCCCTCTACAAAGTTTAACAAGTGAAGATTTAACAGCTGCTTGTTCGTTGTGCTTATGCAGGGCTTGAATTACACAAGCGGGCACAGATTGACACATCATCTCAATTCGGTCAAGTACGTCAATAGAATACAACAGACCTTCATCAATCGCATAGAATATTATCACCTATACATCTAATATTACGTCTTGCGAATAACTTTGTCTCTTTACTGAACCATCAGCATTTCCAGCTGTATATGACTAAATCTGTATAGTTCGCTTTTGCGAAAGGCTTGACACAGCAACAACGTCTTGTCAAATTCAACCTCCAATCAATTCTCTGATCTGGTTGATTTAACAACTGCGAAGCTTTCGTTGTCCCACATCTAGACAACATCTCTTCAGCGTAGTTTTTTTAGTATGAAATGAACTTCATCACGGAAGAATCATGCGTGGAAGACCATTGGAACTCTCTGAAGGTAATTTTTAACGAAACGTCTTCCACGGTTTTAGGAAGAAAGAAGAAACAAGACAAGGAATGGCTCTCAACGGACACTTGGAAGCTAATAGAGGAGAGGAGAATGGTGAAAGAAAAAATGATTCAATGCAAAGATGGACAAGAGAAAGAGACGCTGAACTCAACTTACACAGCACTGGACAAAGAAGTGAAGAAGAGTGTCAGGAAGGACAAAAGACAATTCTACGACAATCTGGCCAGTGAAGCTGAGAAGGCAGCAGGCAAAAGGGACCTGAGGACATTATATCAGATAACCAAGTCTCTATCCGGGAAGAGATCAACACAAGTGAAACCTATAAAAGACAGCCAAGGGAACCCAATTACCAAGGAAGAAAGACAGATTAAACAATGGGCGGACCACTTCAAAAGACTCTCGAACCGACCACCACCTGCAAACCGTTCAGAAATACTAACAACAGCACGTACACAACTGCAAGTTCACACCAATCCTCCAACGAAAACTGAAGTCTTGAATGCAATCAAGCTTCTGAAAGCTGGAAAAGCAGCTAGACCAGATGGAATACCCCTGAAGCACTGAAAGCGGACCCAGAGACGACAGCAGATATGCTGACTCCATTACTGCAAAAAGTCTGGAAGGAGGGAAAGGTGCCTACTGACTGGAGGAAAGGTTGCCTCGTGAAACTACCAAAGAAAGGCGACCTAGGACTCTGCAAGAACTGGCGAGGAATCATGCTCCTGTCGACGCCAAGTAAAATCCTGAGTCACATCACCCTGGAGAGAATAAAGGACGCACTGGATACAGAACTCCGACCAGAACAAGCTGGATTCAGGAAAATCAAATCATGTTCTGACCAAATTGCAACTCTACGCATCATCATCGAACAAAGCATGGAATGGCAATCAAACAACTACCTCAACTTTATAGACTTTGAGAAGGCCTTCGACAGCGCTGACCGTGAAGTATTTTGGAAACTACTCAAGTACTATGACGTAACCCAAATATTCATCAAGCTTATTCAACAGCTGTACGACAACGGCACATGTCAAGTGATCCAAAACGGAAAACTCAGCGAGGCTTTTGGAGTAAACACAGGAGTCAGACAAGGGTGCTTATTATCACCAATGATAATCCTAATTGTGGTGGACTGGATTATGCGTCAGACAGTGAGAAACGAGAAGACAGGGATATCCTGGACCGACGTGAAGAACCTAGAAGACCTGGATTTCGCGCGTGGATGATTTATGTTTGATGTCACACAAAATCGAAGACTTACAAACGAAAACTGACAAACTGGTCGAAGAAGCAGCAAAGACAGGACTCCAGGTGAACATAGACAAGACGGAGGTTATGAAAATAACCAACCAACAACAACAGCAACAGCAGCAACATCCAGCGCCAATCACCATCAACGGGAGGGATTTGAAAGGGGTTACTTCATTCACTTATCTAGGGAGCATTGTCTCAACTACAGGAGGAACGGACGAGGATGTCAAATCGAGAATCGGGAAGGCGAGAAACACATTCATCAACCTGAAACCAATCTGGAAATCTTCGTCACTCAGCCTGCATCAACAACAAAATTCGGATTTTCAATACAAACGTCAAGTCAGTTCTTCTATACGGATCAGAAACTTGGCCGCGGGTCACAAAGAATATTTCCAACAGCCTGTTGCAGACCTTTATCAACAGCTGTCTTCGCTCTATACTGAAGATCAGATGGCCGGGAAGAATCACCAACAAGAAACTATGGGAACAAACAAAACAAGAACCAATCGCTCAACAAATATGCAGGAGAAAGTGGAGATGGATTGGACACTCGCTGAGGAGGCCACTGGGTGACATCTCGTTTCAGGCCATAGCTCGAGTGGAACCCGTAAGGGAAGCAGCGAGTGGGACGTCCAAGGGTGACATGGAGGAGATCGTGTGAAGAAGAGTTGAAACAGTATGGATTAACATGGATGCAAGTGAAAAGTACAGCAGAAGACAGAAGCAAGTGGAGACGTGCAGTTGAAACCCTATGTTCCACTAGGAACCCAAGGGAACAATAATAATATAATAATATGCATGTATGAATACATACGAACGATTAAAAGGCACTTGACACATGCACAAATAGACAAGTCACTCATAAGAAAAAAACACAAGGGAGAAGAGAAATCCGGGTCAAATCAATCTATATTCAAATGTTTGTGAATTTTATTTAACAGTTGGAATGTTGGAATGATAGTTTAAGAATTGAATGAATAGTACAAATACAAATATATAACACATAAATACAACAAATACAGGATATTTACAAATGGACGTTAGAAGATGAAGAGGAGGGCAGTGGAAACATTGGTGGAGGAGTGGCGCATACGGTATATGCTGTGGAATTGACTAGCTCACTACTAATGTAATAGTAATGTTTATAACAAACACTGTGATGTACTACTTACTAACAACCAGGCAGTATGGGATGCGATAATTTTTTATGAATAATCAGTTTAACAAAATAGGCAAAGATTATTGATCAGTTATTCTGTTTGTGCAATGAGGTGATCTGTCTCTAGTATGCTTCTTACGTTTTCTGTGCATTGTTGGTGAAGGTGAATGGCGGTGTGAAGGAGATCTTGACTGAGTAACGTTATCACTGTGTCTACTTCTCTTGTGTCTGTGGTGATCCGCTGACGGACTTGATCTTTTGCAATTATCCTTAGACCGTGATGAATAATCTCTTCTTTTTCTTCTTGTTCTTCTGCTTGTTGGAGATGATGACGATGATGATGATGACGCCGACGGCGACGGAGTGCGAGAAGAACGTCTACGTTTTTTATGCCGTCTATGATGATTTGAATGCGATGAACGTTTCCGGTGTGACCTGAAACACAAAGGAATAGTATACACTATTTATATATATGGTCAACTGAAAGGACGACGACAACTAAGTGGTAATTTAGTCATTCGCAAACCAATTAACCAATTAAAGGATAATATTGGATGGAGGATTTCATCATGAGCTGACATCAGTTAGAGAACTTGAGAGTAATGGACAGCTGTTTCGTTCTAGTTTAGGACTCTTCATCATCACGCACCCACACTGCGGGGTTCAAACCCAGGACCTTCTGGTTACAAGGCCAGAGAGCTTGTAGACCATTAAGCCACTGGGACCCGATCCAATGGCCATCCCATGAATTCTAACTTCTGCCAATTCACGACATAGCGCGACCATTTCGCAATGTCTTCTTCGATGAGTTACTGCCTCATCTCCAACCTGCTGTACCCTACTGGTCACGGCTTCCCACTAGAACCCCAGGTCACTGCCTGAATAGGGCCAGTCGCTAGTGAGCATCAGATTAATTTTCAAGTATTGGTTTTGTAGGGAATTTTGTTTGATTGGTTGGAGGATTTCATCATGAGCTGACATCAGCAGGTTGAAAATGAGGCAGTAACTCATCGAAGAAGACATTGCGAAATGGTCGCGCTATGTCGTGAATTCTTGGCAGAAGTTGGAATTGATGGGCTGGTCGGTGGATCGGGTTGGGTCTCAGTGGCTGATGAATGGTCTACAAGCTCTCTGGCCTTGTAACCGGTAGGTTCTGGGTTCGAACGTCGGTGGGTGGGTGGATGGGTACTGATGAAGATTCCCAAACTTGGGCTGACGAAACAGCTGTCCAGTACTCCCTGGTGGTGTTCCAATGGTTCTCTAACTGATGTCAGCTCATGATGAAATCCTCCATCCAATCAAACTAAATCCCTACAAAACCAATACTTAAAAGATAATATTCAAATAATAATAATAATATTCAACACTTTCCTTGTAAAGATTTAGGCAGAGAACTGTGCACAACATTATTAATATTATTATTGTCCCCTTGGGTTTCGAGTGCAACATAGATCTTTAACAACACATCTCTACTTTCTTCTATTTTCTACTGTCCTCTTCAGCTGGCTAGCCACACGATTGTCCATAATTTCTCATCTCTTCCTCGCCACACAATCACCTCCATATCACACTCGGACACACGCTCAACTCATCGTTCCTTATTCGGATTCTACTTGAGCAATGGTCTGGTGCACGATATCATTCGACGGTCTCCTCAGTGTGTGTGTCCAATCCATCTCCATTTCCTCATGCATACTTGCTGAACGATAGGTTCTTGGTTGGTTTATTCCACTGCAGAGTCTCTTGTTACTAATTCTTTCTGGCCAACTGGCCATTTGATCTTCAATATGGAGCCAGCGAAGGGGGCAGTTGTTGATAAAAGTCTGCACCTGGCTGTTGCAGATGCTTTTCGTGACTTGGGCACTGGTCAAGTTTCTGACCAATATAGAAGAACTGACTGACTTAACATTGATGTTGAAAATCAGAATCACATTCTTTATGCTGAGGCAGAGTGCATCAGATTTCCAAACTGATTTCAGAGCGATGGAGTACTGTTTCGAATATGATTGTGGCTAATTTCGACATCTTCATTCCTACCGATTTTGCCTGTTGCCTGGTGATATAAGTGAAGAAAGTAACCTCATTCGAATCTCTCCCGTTGATAGTGATTGGTGCTGGTTGTTGTCGCTTTAGGTTGGTTATCTTCATCACACCTCTGTCTTCTCCACATTTTCACCTGGAGTCCTGTCTTCACTGGCTGCTTCGCTTGCAAGTCTTCTAGTTTGTGTGACATTAGACATATATATCATTCACGCGCAAAATCCAGATCTTCTAGAAGTTTCTTATCGGTCCAGCGTATTCCCGTCTTCTCAATCCCCCATAGTCTGACACATAATCCAGTCCATCATAATATTATGAACCACCAATGAACCATAAGAGTAACTGATTACTCTTTATGTTATTCAATAGACTTAGTAACACTGAAGAAGAATAACTGTAATATAGGCTGATGGTTTTACACACACAAAGTAAACCTATCTCTGTTACAATGTTACTAATATTAGATAGTTGGAGGCAATCGGCCAAAGGAAGCCTTACTTCACCTAGATTTCATGCTAATTGGCACTCACCAATCAGAAAAGCGTATCTGCAACCTTGAAGGAACAACTCATGTCCCTGCTTCTGAGATTCAAACCCACCTCACCCTCTGCTACAGTCAAAGACGTCACCAGTAAGCTATTCAGACTCACGATTCCCCTCCTGTATTGAACTATCTGTCTGTTTTCGACATAGAACTTTGCAAATATGTGCGGAAGTTCAAGTCGCCACACTCCCTCCTTGGAGCACACAAAGCAACAGAAGAAAGTAGGAGAAATGCATAATATAGACAGTAAACAGAGGTGTGAGACGAAGGAATAGTAGTAACGAAGAACAAAACAGTTTCATTGGAAATCACAAGTCACAAGGAGTGGATGCATCTGCGCCAGCCATTGAGAACGATTTTAAGCCATGTCACCAATTGCTTCCAACCATTGGGTTTTACCGTCCCGAGGACCCCAACCAGGAAGCCAGTCTACACCTTCCTACGTGGCTTGAACTAACTGTTATGCATTTCATTGACTGGTGCCATGTTTTCATTTGACCACCGCTAGCTCTTTTCCAGCCTGACCCTATATCAGCTAACATTGCCCGTTGAGGAAGGCGATGACTAGGTATAAATACGTAACACATGTCCTAACCATCTCAGCCGATGTAATTTCACAGTCTCGTCAACTGATTTCCCCTCCCACCTCAATATTGCTCACCTTATTATACCACTTCACACGGGAGATAGAACGCAAGCACCTATGATCGAAGACAGCTAGTCTTTTGATGTCTTCCACTCTCAATGGCCAGGTTTCGCTCACAGCCATGAAGGAGGACGGAGCGGACTGATGAGCAGCACACACGCCCTTTGGTCGATAGTCGGATATCACATCTATGCCAGAGACAGCGTAAACTGGCATATGCGAAACTAGCCCTCTGTATACGTGTTGAGATTTCGTCAGAGATCAACCCGTTGGCACTGGCTGATGGTACTTCCCAAGTAAGTGAAGCGGTCAACGTGGTCTACCACTTCACTTCCTATTTCTAATCTAAGAGTTGGTGTAGTCCAATCCTGTAACATCTTCAAGGTTGCAGATACGCCTTGCTGATGAGTGCCAACTAGCACGAAACCTAGGTCCAAGACTTCCTGCCGATTGCCTTTAACCATCTAATATCAACATCATCTTGCATTTGGCAGGAGCGAATCGCATGCCAAACATTCACAGATTGCAGCTCAAGGTGTTCAGAAGACTCTCTATTTTGTCATCTACGATGAAGTTGAATAGAAATGGGGATAATGGGCATTGATTGAACACTAGTTAGCAACTAGTGGGAGTGTGGCAGATTGAACTGCCTGCATTTCTGTGGAAAGTCGATAGTGTACAGACTGATGATATTCCGCAGAGTCATGACGAAATGAGTTGTAGCATATATAAAAGGCTACGTATCCGGTGCCTAATCAGAAAGCTACAATCAATAAATTCCATCTTCTCATTATAATTATGAGTATTTACCATCAACTACCTTTATATATTGATCACTAAACAAAGTAGAGAGAGAATATTCACCGCTTTTCAAGGCATCTTACATAACAAAAGGTAATTTAATTCAATTAGTCTCTATTCACTGAATATTTTCAGAACAAAATCTTAACAGAAATGACTAGTAATAACTAATTATACAGCTCAAGATGTAACTACATACAATACTAAACATTCTGTTTTAAACAGAAATTGAGATCCGTATGAAAAAATAAATTACTTAACTTGTCGACAAAAAACTGTTTCATACAAAAACAAAAACAAACAAGCAAAAAATTAAGCAGCGAAATAGCTTACTTTGTCACAGGAGAGTACGATACACGATCACAGTGAGTATTATCCACTGGACTAGGCAATCTACCTAAATGACGCCATAATGCCTTTTGTATATCGTTAACCGTTTCACCAGGATTAAGAAATACATGCAAGAAATTACAATGTAGATCACCTTTAGGACATTTGCCACGATGATAGAGACCTAGAAAATAAAAACAACAACAAAACAAAAATAGTGTGGATCACATCAAACAATAATGGAAACAAAAAAAAACAACGACGGAATGAATATAAACGAAAAGACTCTCAGGTGGTTTACCAATAGTTCTCTAACTGATGATGTTGTCAGCAGCTCATGATGAAATCCTCCAACCAATCAAACAAACAAAATAATTCCTACAAAATTGTCAAAGATAAAACCATTAAGAGCGGTGAAGCATGAAATAGGAAAGACTGAGATTGAGTAAAGTCAATCAAGAAATCCGACTGAGTGATTGACTGACTGACTGGTTTCAACATAGAACTTTGCACAGATGTGCACCAGTTCCAGTTACCACATTCCTTTCATTTACCGCACAAACCCCTCGACCGAAAGCTGCTACCTTGACGTGGTGGTCGGGCTTGAACACCGAAATGACTCAACAAGCTATACTGGCTGAGACTTATGTCGCTTGAGGTCCTACCATGCCAGAAAGGTTGTTTGGATAGCGGTTAAACAAAAAGCAGTTACCTAACCCAATACTATGACTCAAACAAAATCACAAAATATCATGCCGGATCGGTCGGGGCCCGGATTAACAACGACCGCGCTTCCTGCTGCCGTGTCACAGGGCAGAAGTGATAAATATGCTACTGAGACACACCAAATGAAAAAGAACAAAACAAAAACAGGCCGCGTGTGACCGGCCTCAAGCAGTTGTCCCCTGGGCTCTGCGGTCACGTAACCAACTTCCAGGGTGTGGGCAGCCGGGAAGTAACAATCGCCCTCACAATCTGAAATGCACGCGAAACCTCTCTAATCCTCACTCATCTTTGTCTTCATCTTCATCTCTATTATCTTGCCTTCCTTCTACTGATGCAACTCCTCTACTTGATGGCTCTTCACTTCCTCTTCATTCTGTGTGCACTGAAAACGACGGAAGCCGAAAAACCACCACCGATAGTCTCCTAAAGCCACGCCACCAATTTCATATAGGAGCATTTAATGTTAGGACACTTTGCCAAATAGGACAACAAGCATCACTAACCAAAACTCTGGCATCGCCAACCAAGGGACGTGTGTACTGCTCAGCAGTTCGCTCCGTCCTTCTCTATGGCTCTGAAACATGGCCAATACGAGTTGAAGAAATGAAAAGGTTAACTGTTTTTGATCATAGATGTCTACGATCTCTTTCTCACGTTAGGTGGTATAATAAGGTAGGTAATGCTGACGTTAGGCGTAGAGTGTTGGGCAAAGAGGGAAAATCAATCGAAGAGGCTATAAAGATACATAAATTGAGATGGCTAGGTCACGTGCTGCGCATGCCCAACCATCGCCTCCCCCGACGGGCATTACTAGCTGATATAGGTGCATGTTGGTTGGAAAAGAGTAAGTGGTGGCCAAACAAAAACATGGCATCAATCCATGAAATCCTTGACAGTTAAACTGAGTCAGGTAGGGAGATGCAGACTTCTGGGTTGGGTCAATGGCGCAGATGTATTCAGTCTCTGTAATCTTTCATATTCCTTTCTACCATTACTCATTCTGTTTCACTCTTATACTTGTCAAAACTCTATTGATTCTCTTCACTCATTTTCCTGTCTACCTTTGTGTGCTATTTGGAACGTGGCAACTCGAACTGCTGTATTTCGGCGCCAAGTTCTATGTTGAATCTAGACAGACAGACAGACCGCACAAACCAAGAGAACAGAGTTAAGAGAGATAGCGGTGGTCACCAAGTGGACAAAAATAGTGCCTTCAAAGTTATCTATCGCATTCCATCGAACCTTTCGAACGGAATTCGAATCCGTCTTTTACACATAGCCGAAGCTATGGGAATCAATTCGAGAGAACAATCCCAGTCTTTGAATACAAAAGAAGTTTGTTCTACCCTTGTCTATCCCTTGGCCTAGGTGAATTATATTCAAAACCCTCCCACCCTCTCTTATTTTCCATCTCCTTCGTATTTTTATGATATTTATTTAAAGTCTGATTATCTGTCCACTTCTCCTTTAGTATTACGTAACTTTGACCTAATTTATTTATTGAATTGTCTACTTCTAAAGCTTCGCAGACAAAAAGAAAAGTTATATAAAATTAAGAATAGTACTGGTTTGAAAAGAATTAACATCCTAATAAAGTCTGAAATGCACAGATTGAATTCAATTTACAACCAAAAGTTCATATCCTGTAAAAATGCGTCTAATATATGGAAACTTTCCAAAGAAATTACTGGTGGTAAGCAGATGAACAGTATTCCTTTTTCCCTTGATGTTTGCGCACTAAACAAGTCCTTCATACATCCTCCCGCAAGTGCCAAACTTTCCAGTGGTACAAGCGTTAATGAAACCTGCTTCCCTGGTTTTAATACAAACGATGTTCTAAAATGTCTCCAGTCTCTGAACCCTTCTTGTAGCCTGGGTTCAGACGGTCTGCCTAGTGTGCAGATATCCTGTGTTATCCTCTCATGGACATATTTAATGAATCTTTTACCAAAAATATCGTGCCAGCCGTTTGGAAGGACATTAAAATCGTACCTATTCCTAAGTCGTCTACTGCAACATGTTTTAAATTTAGACCCATTGCTACTACTTCCCCTATTCTAACAGCTATGGAAAAGTTACTCTTAATTAATCTTCAACCTTCACTTAAACCCTTTAACGATCCCAAACAATTCGCCCAAAAACACAGTAGAGGTACTTTAGATGCAGTTGCAATCTTGTATCATAACATTGTCTCCAGCTTAGAAAAGAGGGCTAAATTTGTTCGCTGCACCTTTCTAGATTATACATCTGCTTTCGACTCAGTACCTAGGGGCATTTTACTAAACAAGCTTGCTGAAACTCAAACTGACTGCTGGGTTGTCAAATGGCTACATTCTTATTTCTCAGGAAGAAAGCAGTACACCGTATGTCAGGGAAAGTCGTCCACTTCGTTGCTTACTGAGGCTGGTGTCCCTCAAGGCGCCGTCCTTTCACCTTTTGTGTTTTCTTTCTTCTTGCATGACTTGCCTCACTCTGATGAAATGAACTTCGTTAAGTATGCCGATGATCTAACTATTTCAGTGTCTGCTAACTCCCATCTTGACTGCACTAAGATGAACAGTTTTCTATTATGACTCAGCAAACGGTCTTTGTCTACTGGTCTTAAACTAAATGCTTCCAAATGTCGGGCTGTTAATTTCAGTCTCAGATGTAAAAGAAAGTTAAATGAAGCTGTTAATTCCCATGACCATTGCAAAATTGATGATACTGATATAGAAACCAAGTCTGAAGTTAAGTATCTTGGATTAATTTTTTCTAATGACCTATCCTGATCTTCTCATGTCTTAGTGATTTCTAAAAGAATATTTCGTCTGACATTTTACATTAAGACGAAGTTAAGGCACTCACGCATAACCCAACCTCTCTTCTCACATTTTATCAACTCGTGCATCTTACCTATTCTTCTTTACTCTTCACCCTTATTCTTTCCTGGATTGATTAAAAAAGACTATGTCATACTTCGTAGAATTCTGATGACTGTAGGTCAGTAGGGCGAGTGGTGTCCCATTGGGCCATGTCGTTGATATTGTCCCTGATAGGCACTTGATTTTATACAACAAATTTGCTAAAGAAATTTTGTCGAACTAAGAGCATCCAGTTTACTTACCCACAGCTTTCAACTTGTATCTCCTCAGGTAAAACACAAGAATTCATTTCAGAAGACTTTATGCGCGTACGTCTAATTATAAAATTTCCACTATACCATATTTGGCAGCACGTATTTCATGTGATGAAAATAGTGTTAGGCATGAACTAACTAACCTTCTTTGCACTACTTAATAAGCCATTTCCTCCACCCTTACGCCATCAACCTTCATTGTTATTGTACTTCTTATATTTATAAACCTCTCAATTTTTTGTTTTTATTTGTTTATTTTCTCGTAAGTGTGAGCATCATTTAAGCTGTATTATAACTGTTAATTTTGTATTATTATTATTATATTTAATAATCTCAATTCATGCTTCGAATATTTTTAACTTTATGTCGTAAATGTGGACAAATTCCTCCGATTAATTTAGTTTTAATTTTTAATTTTGTTTATATTTTGAGTAAATCAGATGCAATATTGACAAATACTGAGAATTCTATTCTGTATTATAAGTACTGTTTTTGGAATAAAGTAGATTATTATTACTATTACTACTACATATACATATATTACTACTTTTGTTATTCTTATCGCCACCTGCATAAACTTTATTATCAATATTTTGTTATCATTATAATCATCATCACTACTGACGTTCAAAACATTTACCACATTATTATTATTATTTCATCCACAAAATCACCGTCATTGGTTAAAATTTTTACATATAAATCTATGTAAATTAGAGTAAAGTCTGAAGAAGATCTAACTGAAAACAATATTGTTCGCTTATATGTCTTGTTCTAAGAGCGATTCATCATATGAGAGTGTGAGAGACGGAAAAAAAAAATAATAATAATATGGAAGAACAATAGAGTTTTATTGTATGAATATGATAAATCACAAAGATTGAATGCAGCTGCGTTAGTCATTGAGACCAAAGATTTCGAGTCATTTCGAGTCACCAGTTGTTTCCAACAGCGATTGGTTCTTACCATGCAGAGGACGCCAACCAGCCAACAAGTCTACACCCCCTCCCTACGTAGAGCTTAAATTGACTGATCAAGCCATGTTTTGGCTTGACCGTGACTAGCTGGCTCTTTCCCAACCTGATCCATTCTACATCAGTTAGCTAACAATGGCCGTCATCGAGGAAGGCTGTCGATGGTTAGACATGAATGCGTAACACACGTTCTATCCATCTCAACCGAAGTAACTTCACAACTTCAATAGTACTCACCTTATTATACCACCTAACACGGAAGATGGAATGCAGACATCTAAAATGACGAATCAAACGATGAAAAACGATCGATTCTGAGTAATATTATCCACAGTTTCGATCCAGTAGTCAGGTAACCTAAGGTTATCTGTTTCATTCACAGAAAAGAACCGAGTGACTGCATGGATACGTAATATGCTTTAATACGATAGCTAGTCACTATTTCCTAAAACAGTCATTTAAATGAATATTAGATGAGACTCACTGTTGAAGATGAATCTCAGTGAGAAGACCCATAGTACAGTACAACATCATCAACTAATTCGAACAAATGTGACCTAAATAATGTTCCTCAAGACTCACTTAATATAGCTACCTTCCAACCATTAAATTGAAGTAGAAATCGCACAGACAGCCTCCTTCTTCCGGGACATTCGACTGACAAGGAGGACTGATGGGACACTTTAAACAGATCTATCTATACACAGAAATCCTATGTGGAAGGGTCAGTTGACAAACTTTTACAATTGGATATCCACTAATCGCAGGAGGAACCTGATATCTCTTGTAACTAGGATCCGAAGAACCTACAGTCCTGAATCACTAGAAGAAGAGAACACCCTTTTGAGGAAGACACCACTTGAGAATATCTAGACTATCCCACCCCACCCCACGCCACGCTTTATAGACTAAAACATAAAGCCCGAAACCAACAAATAACACCCGATTTGTATGCTGAAGAAGATGCGATGCATGAATGTGGTGTTCATAGGCGACCTTCTGATCGACACACTCTGAAGAAGAAGAAGAAGAAGAGAATATCTAACGTGTTGGAAAAAACTTTCTCTGCTGCTACATTACGACTGGCATTCCCTTACAGCACATTGTTCTTCAACAACTCCAAAGATATACTATGGTATCTGACAACTTGTGAATGTAATCTACTAATTTGCTTGCTCGTGTGGAGCGAGATGCATATTTGTTGTTCGATGCGTGTTTTAACTGAAAGAGTCAAAGAACATTACGCTGCTTGGCTACAGAAAGGTGACAATGGATCAATAAAGAGTGGTATGATTGAGTATATATATATATATATATATATATATATATATATATATTCAACACTGGCCACTCAATATATAAGGGGAATTCATTCAAAATCAAAGGAAACCTCCCGAAAACGTTAAGCTTAGCATAACTCGGATCCAACGAAGATAGAGTGGTAAAATTTGTTTATAAAGAAATATAAAAACAAAGAACTCAGCGAAGATAAATCCTCTTTTCGACGACAAAAATGGTTAGGTCTAAAAAATCCTGATTATTCAGAGTCCAATAAAGTTTCATATTAGTTTGTTTATTAGATATGTCACATTGTGAAACAGTATTATTATTTACTGGATGACGTTTCGAACAAAACTTATTGTTCATAATCATATCAATTGTAATCACACGACTTTGACACTTGAGTTTTATAGCTTTCTTTGTTTTCTCCAATCAATCTCTCCCTCAACCATGTTAGTTGTATTACATTTTAAAACTGTCATCTTATCCCACCCTATTATATGGTTGTGTGTAACTGCATGTAGTGAGTGCTATAGCTGAACTATTCTCTAGATTTCTTATCTTATTTGGATCAACCAATCTAGATTTTGCTAAGTTTTTATGTTCCGCTAGTCTGGCTGCCCCTATTCTACTACTTTGATCTAGGTATTTCACCTGACAATCATTGCAGGCAGGGTATCCGATAAACTAAACTGTTTTGTTTTAAAGGCTCTACAGGATCCTTTAACCCACAAAGCTTGTTTCTAATTGAGTTTGTGGGTTTGAATGCCATTTTCATTCCTGCCTTGTTAAGAATTCTGCGTAAGGATTCCGAGGTTCATTCCTTCTATGGAATTACTACTGATGATTTAGATTCCTTATTGTTGGTGTCGTCATTAATAGTATTATTATTATTATCATTATTATTGTTATTAGCACTATCGCTACTATCATTATTTATTTTATTTTCACATTTCCTTACATATTTCCTGACTAATTTATCCGGGTAATTATTAAGTTTCAAGGCTTCCTTTACGTGTATCAGTTCCTGTTTCAGATTTTCTTTGGTACTACTTAGTTTTTGTGCTCTGTCATTTAAACATTTCACCAATCCTATTTTCACTGACATAGGATGGGACGACTGGAAGTCCAAATATCTGTTTCAATGTGTAGGTCTCCTGCAAACACTCCAATGTGTTTAACTTCCCACCTTCTTTCCTTTTGACGTTGCAATCTAACATTGGGATCTCTTCTTCCTGATTTTCCAATTCATAAGTGAATTGAATTGTTTCAACCTTCGAGTTCATGTGTTTGAAAAACCTATATATATCTTGTGTTTTGAGTACAGTGAACGTGTCATCTACATACCGGTGTGATTACAATGGATATGATTATGAACAATAAATTTTGTTCGAAACGTCATCCAGTAAGTAATACTGTTTCACTGTGCGATATATCTAATAAACAAACTAATATGGAATTACTACCACAGTGCCCAAGTTTTACACATATAAAAATAAAGTTTGCAGTAATTTATATCGCGCACTACATACGCCTCTGGAAAGCCTGCTCTATGTACGTTACACACTTGTTGCTAATTCCTAGTAAGACTTATCTGAGAACACAATTATGAACAGAAAGAATGCCAGCAAGTTAAGTTTATTGCTACAAATTCACGCTTCAGATGAAATATTCTCTGGAACGGACTGAAAGTAAACTGAGATCTTTCGCATAAATCAAAAAAAAATAAATAAATAAAAAAGCATTCACACAACTAACCACAGATAGCCTCTCTCCAACCACCACCCAATCGTACTACAGAACATGTTAACTGGCGTCCAGCAAACCAACGACCATTACAAGCTTCAGCAGCATCCCAAGTTGCGCTTGGACCTCTTGCAAATTCAATGTACACTGTCCCGCACAAATGATCAGCTAAATTACGACATGTTCGAATTACTGAAATTTTGCCCCATCTTGATTCCATTTCTGAGCGTACATCATGGTAGAATTCATGATAATCTGAGAGTAATTGATTTTCGTCCACTTCAAGACCTGAATCTAAAATACACATTTATTGATGATGATGATGATGAAGTAAGAGAGTGATGCTGCAAATGATTCAAATGATTCAAAACTGAGGGGAAAATAACAAAATCTTGTACGGAATTATTTGATGGTACATACTATCTATCGATTGATATGAATGGTTGAAAAGTACTCATGTAAGGCTGGTAAAGAGAGAAGGTTGGCCATGAGGCTAACAACTCCATACTGCATAAATAATCACCACTGGTACAAAAACTTCAAGCCTATTGGGAACGTAAAGAAATTTTAAAAAAACTCGCGTTAAGCAGTAGTGACGCTTGCTAGCCAGCTCAAAATGATCTAACCACCGGAGGGCTGTCTCCTTCTTTTGAGCCGAGCTTATCAGTAGTGTACCCGGGTCGACTTAGTTCAGAGAGTCAGCTGTCCACTGTTCAGATAATTTCTATCTGGCTAGCAAGCACTAACTACTATTTAACTGACGTCAGTGAGAGCGATTTTGAGCTACACCACCAACTGTATCTACCCGCCATTGATTCTTCACAACCCCAACCAGTCAACACCTCCCTACGTGGTTGACTTGCTGGCTGGCTCAAACCAACGGTTATGGATTTGATTGACTGATCAAGCCATATTTTGGTTTGACCACCACTAGCTGGCTCTTTTCCAACCTGACCCTATGTCATCTAACATTCCCCGTCGTCGAGGAAGGCTATCGACGGCTAGACGTGCATGCGTAACACATATCCTAACCACCACACTCAAGCGATGTAGCTGCTTTACAACCCCTCTTTACCTAACACTCAACCGATACTTAACCTCAATATCATTCACCCAATTACATCTACCACCTAACATGGGAGACAGAATGTGAACACCTGTGATCAAAGGCAGCTAGCCAGCCTTTTCATGTCTTCCAATTTCAATAGCCATGTCTCAAGCCATAAAGGAGGACGGAGCAGACTACTGCGCTGAGCAGTACACACGCTCTTTGGTCGATAGCCAGCCGGATATCACACGTCTACGCCAAAGATGGCATAAACTGGCATATGCAAAACGAGCCTTCTTTATCCGTTCTGAGATTTCATCAGCGATAAACAGCTTAAGCGCAACACATCAAGGCAATTTAGATTAGACACATGATGAATGAATGAAGGTTTTTTTTGACAAAAACTGCAAAAAGTTTGTAAGAGTTAACCAAATCTGCTGCACTTATTTACAATCAAAGCACCAGAGGTTTTATTTACAACAACAACAAACCTTGATCCTCGGAACCCACTTTCCTCGTTAAATCCAAATGGAAGTGAGTGAACATTTTAGGTATCCGTAAAACTAGGCACGAATTATCTATCGGTTCATCAAAACCATCTTGGTCATCATTAATCAGATTAAACGATGCCGTAGTGTCATAGGCGCTTGGATATTCATGAAGACGGGAGCAACTGAAAATGGCAACAATGCAACACGGTATTCTAACACTCACTTAGTAACGAAAGTAGTAATAATAAAAAATATGAATAATAACTTTATACTGGGCAAAATGTTTACAAAAAAAGTATAGAATTCTCAGTGTAATTTATTCTATAATATTTTCTCTTTATAAAGTACCTTCATGTAGAGAATAGCAATCTATGCTATATCACGTGATGCACTGCTGTTTGATGATCAACAACACCTGCACCGATGTGCAGCAGTTCATGTTGCCACACTCCCTCAATGTAGCACACAAAGCCAGAGAAAAGAGTAGAGAGATTCAAAACAGAGATAATAAACAGAAATATGAAGCAAAAAGAATAGTAATATGGAGGAGCCATATAGTTTTATTGGATATGATAAATCACAAGGAGTGCATGCGTCTGCGCCAGCCATTGAGAACGAGGATTTTGAGCCATACTACCAATTGTCTCCAGCCGTCATAGGTTCCTACCATCCCGAGGACCCCGACTAGTCAAAGAGTCTACACTCCTCTATGTGGCTGACTGGCTCAAACTAACTGTTATGGATTTCATTGATTGATGAAGCCATGTTTTCGTTGAACCACCGCTAGCTAACTCTTTTCTAACCTGATCAATCCTTTGTCAGCTAGCAAAGGGCTATCAATGATGCCGATCGATGGCTAGGTATGCATATCACATGTCCTAACCATCTTAATCGATGTAACTTTACAAACTCGTCGATCGGTTTCCCCTCCATACCTAGCACTCGACCCAAGCCTGACCTCAATATTGCTCACCCTATTATACCACTTCACACGGGAGATAGAACACAGGTACCTATGACCAAAGACAGCTGGTTAGCTAGCCTTTTCAAGTCTTCCACTGCCAATGGCCACATCTCACAGCCATAAAGGAAAAGAGAGAGGACTTCTAAGAAGTGCACATGCCCTTTAGTCTACAGCTAGTCGGATATCACGTCTACGCCATAGAATTACTAGTCAATAAATAAGAGCTGAATTAGTCTGTCTGTCTGTTTTCAACATAGAACTTAGCACCGATATACAGCAGTTCGAGTCGCCACACTCCCTCCTTGTAGCACACAAAGCGAGAAGAAATTAAAAAGAAATACAAAATAGTGGCAGTAGACAGGGATATGAGACAAAAGGAATAGTAATATCGAAGAACAATATAGTTTAATTGGAAATTATAAGTCACGAGGAGTGGATGCACCTGCACCAACCATTGGGAACGATTTTGCTGCATATCACGAATTGTCTCGAGCCGTCATTGGTTTTTACCATCCCTAGGACCTCAACCACGAAGTCAACACCTTCCTACGTGGCTGGTTTAAACTAACTATTGTGGATTTCATTAACTGATGAGGCCATGTTTTGGTTTGACCACCACTAGCTCTTTTCTAGCCTAACCCTATGTCAGCTAACATTGCCCGTCGAGGAAGGCGATGGCTAGGCATGCATGTGTAACACATGTCCTAACCATCTCAGTCGATGTAACCACTTCACAACCTGGTCGATCGCTTTCCTCTCCAACCTCACCTAGCACTCGACGACTAACCTCAGTATTGTTCACCCTATTACACCGACCACCTAACACGGGAGATAGAACGCAATAAGGTCGGCTCATAGTCGTGAGAATGGATTATTCTTACTGGCTGTCAATAGCTATTTTGGTTGGATGGCAATCCGACAAACACCAAGTTGAGACAAAAGATGGTGAATTGGTCACACAATAAGTCACAAGATTCGTGAGAAAGGATGATATACTATTTTATACTGGTTTCCATCAGAATCAATTTCACAAAGAAGCTACAATGACACCGATGGCCTCATACTTTTTGAGATTATGGGTAACAGTCTTCAGTAATAACAACACATACATATCACTGGATTTTGGTCCTTAAGAAGTTTCTAAACTAACTAACTAACTGTTATTTAACTTTAGGCCATACGGAAAAGCATAAAATGAAAGTCAATAAAGTGAGCATATAATCACAAGTTATAGAATAACCTGAAACGAGAACGGTGGACGAAAATACAAATTATATTTGGGATGAAAATAAGATATGGGCAAGCCGCTCTACTGTCATCACTTTTCAAACTTACCGCTATTCCTTCAAATATAGGCTCCCCTGGTTGCATATACATATTAACCAGACTAACCTTCCTTGTATGCCTCAAATCAACCAACGATGTCTTCATGGAATGGTATCAAGTCTTGAACTAGTCATCCTTCGCCTTTCTCCCAATCTAGTCACACTGTTGCTAACATATCGTCATCAGTGGCCCAATAGTAGAATGCATTTCAGTCACTCACAGTTTCAATTCCGAACTGATGAACTTCTAAACCTTGCCTGGTCGGCAGAAAGCCCGGAAAAGAGGTAACGTTGGGCGTGAGACTATCAACTAGCAATCGCACTTCGTAAAAACAGAGACTCCATTACTGAAACCTCAAAGCTTATATCTCTAAGTTTCACTTGCAGTGCAAGGGACGAAAAGACAGCACATCGAGGTCTTAAATTAAATTAAATTGTGAAATCTGTGAATGAGTTATCTATTGACTCATTGTTTTGTTTAATAAGCGACAGCACGATAGGTGTCACACGAAACAAGTGTACGTGGATGACTGCTCAAACCAGAAAGAAATTCAAATATATGACCATTGAGGTCCATCCAGTCGGAAGTGGGGATGGAGTCCCAGGCGATGACATCGGTTCATGGTCACGCTAAAAATCATCCGGCTATCAACCAAGGGACGTACTGCTCAGCAGTTCGCTCCGTCCTTCTCTATGGCTCTGAAATATGGCCAATACGAGTTGAAGACATGAAAAGGTTGACTGTTTTTGATCATAGGTGTCTACGATCTCTTTCTCACGTTAGGTGGCATAATAAGTAAGTAATGTTGACGTTAGGCGTAGAGTGTTGGGCAAACAGGGAAAATCAATCGAAGAGGCTATAAAGTTACATAGATTGAGATGGCTAGGTCACGTGCTGCGCATGCCTAACCATCCCCTCCCTCTCCAACGGGCATTACTAGCTGATATAGGTGCAGGTTGGAAAAGAGTAAGTGGTGGCCAAACAAAAACATGGCCTCATCAATCCATGAAATCCCTGACAGTTAAACTGAGTCAGGTAGGGAGATGCAGACTTCCAGGTTGGGGCCCTCGGGACTCTAAGAATCAATGGCTGGAGACAATAGGTGACATGGCTCAAAATCGTTGTCAATGGTTTACGCAGATGTATTCAGTCTCTGTAATCTTTCATATTCCTTTCTACCATTACTCATTCTGTTTCACTCTTATACTTGTCAAAACTCTATTGATTCTCTTCACTCATTTTCTTGTCTACGTCTGTGTGCTATTTGGAACGTGGCAACTGGAACTGTTGCATTTCGGTGCCAAGTTCTATGTTGAATCCAGCCAGCCAGCCACGCTAAAAATCACGCATTGGTAAAAGTTAGGATTCATGGGCTGGCCATTGAATCAAGTCCCGGTAGCTGAATGAGATACGAGTTAGCTTGCCTTGTAACCGGAAGGTCATGCGTTTGAACCCCAGTAGGAGAGTACTGTCAATAATTCCCAAACTAGGTTCTCTAACTGATATCAATCCGTGGTCTAACCTGAAATATGACCTAGTGCCCAAAAATAAACATCAGTAAACCCCAGTTTCAAAGCTTATGAGAAACATCGATAATACAAATTTGTCAACAGCACTTTGTTGTTGTGTGTTAATGACACAACAAATACACACACACACACAACAGCACACCAACTCCTCCAGATGAGAGTTAAAATTTCCACTAACTCAAAACAACACATATAAACTTACAGAAAATCATATCGACAAGCTCCAGTTTTACGAAAGAAACTACACTTCTCTATCACTGTAGAAATACTAGAGCGTGGTACTTGTTCCACTACTGAAGTAATCGATACAGGAGGTGGAGGATGATGCCAAGGGGGAAGGTTAGAAGACTGTTCATGAATTGCCTAAGAAAGGTAAAATAAGATTATTGTCAATCTACACAGAAAAAAGGCAGAGAATCATCGGAATCAACATAAATGATGTAGAATTGATCATGAATACCTTTGAATGAATCCTATAGATGGTACAAGTGTATTCATGAGTCCGAAGTATTAACCAAACAAAAAAAGGAATGAATCGTTATCACTAGATCCCACTTCTGTTTTTCTTTCTTTTTGCACGACCTACCGCGTATTCTTTTAAAGCTAACTTCATTCAATATGCTGATAATCTAACCATTTCTGTTCCAGTAGTAGTTTTTGAATTGGATAGGGAGTGAAGGGATAGAGCGTGTTATTTGGGAAGTTGCATAAGCCATTGTCAACGGGTTGATTGCTGACGAAATCTCAGCATGAATACAGAGGACTAGTTTCGCATATGCCAGTTTACGCCGTCTCTGGCTTAGTAGACGTGATATCCGGCTGGCTATCGACCAAAGAGCGTGTGTACTGCTCAGAAGTCCGCTCCGTCCTCCTTTATGGCTGTGAGACATGGCCATTGAAAGTGGAAGACATGAAAAGGTCGGCCAGCTGTCTGTCATCACAGGTGTCTAAATTCTATCTCCCATGTTAGGTGGTAGGTGTAATAGGGTGAATAATATTGAGGTTAAGTATCGGTTGAGTGTTAGGTAAGGAGGGGAAATCAATAGAAAACGCTGTGAAGTTGTACTGATTGAGATGGTTATGACGTGTGTTATGCATGCATCTCTAGCCATCGCCTTCCTTGAGGACCGGCAAAGTTAGCTGACATAGGGTCAGGTTGGAAAAGAGCCAGCTAGTGGTAGTCAAACTAAAACATGGCCTTATCAGTCAATGAAATCCACAACAGTTAGTTTAAGCCAGCCACGTAGGAAGGTGTTGAGGTTCCAGGGATGGTAAAAGCCGATGACGGGCTCGAGACAATTGGTGATATGCAGCAAAATCGTTCCCAATGGTTGGTGCAGATGCATCCACTCCTTGTGACTTATAATTTCCAATAAAACTCATTTGTTCTTCGATATTCCCATTCTTTTTGCCTCATATCGCTCTTTACTGTCTCTCTCTTGAATTTCTTGTTGCTTTCTTCTCTTGCTTTGTGTACTACAAGGAAGGAGTGTGGCGACTCGAACTGTTGCACATCGGTGCAAAGTTCTGTGTTGAAACCAGTCAGTCAGAATTGGATTCTTCTGAAGTTAACAAGTCGTCTCATCTAAATGATTTCAAACTACATCCACCTAATTTAACTGAATTTGAGATTTTCCCGTCCATCTGAATTTTGATATTGGTGATTTTAGTTTTGAGAAGCGAAAAAGACTTCCATGGACTGACTGATTCAGTCCAATGATTCCTGTAAGATTGACAGCACTGTGATGATTTCTAAGAAAAGTTTTCGTTTGACTTATTACATAAAGTAGTTGAGACTTTTTGCTGGCATAACTCAACCTCTTCTCTCACAATTTATTAATTCCTGTATTCTGCCCGTTCATTTTTATTGTCCTCCCCCCCCCTTTATTCTTCCCTAATGGACTTCTCAAAAGAGACTATGTCATATTATGTAGAACACTGAAGGCTGGAAAGCGAGAAGGGTTAGTGGTATGCCTTCGACGGTCGGTCGGTGGGTCGGTTTTCGACATAGAACTTTGCACATATGTGCGGCAGTTCAAGTCGCCACACTCCCTCCTTGTAGCACACAAAGCAAGAGAAGAAAGTAGGAGAAACGCATTATATAGACAGTAAACAGAGGTGTGAGACAAAGGAATAGTAATAACGAAGAACAAAACAGTTTCATTGGAAATCAGAAGTCACAAGGAGTGGATGCATCTGCGCCAGCCATTGAGAACGATTTTGAGCCATGTCACCAATTGTTTTCAACCATTGCTTTTTACCGTCCCGAGGACCCCAACTAGGAAGCCAGTCTACACCTTCCTACGTGACTGGCTTAGACTAACTGTTGTGGATTTCATTGACTGGTGCCATGTTTTCGTTTGACCACCGCTAGCTCTTTTCCAGCCTGACCCTATATCAGCTAACATTGCCCGTCGAGGAAGGCAATGACTAGGCATTGATGCGTAACACATGTCCGACCATCTCAGTCGATGTAATTTCACAGTCTCGTCTATTAATTTCCCCACCTTACCTAGCACCCGACGTCCAACCTCAATATTGCACACCTTATTATACCACTTCACGCGGGAGATAGAACGCAGACACCTATGATCGAAGACAACTAATCTTTTCATATCTTCTGCTCTCAATGGCCATGCCTTCGACACAGCTGACTTATATTATTGTCAATTGGCACTTCAATTCTCGCAAGCAGTTCGCTGAAAATTCCATTCTGTATTATTATTGTTATTATCATTACTTGGAATAAAGTGACTATTATTATTCAATAGACAAAGTGGAAATCGTAACACCATCACTATTGCTAACTAAAGCAAAGCACAATTTGTGTTAATCTACAACTTGATAGCATATTTATACCATTCTCAGTTCAAAATAGGAAGTCACAGAGTTGATCGAAAACTCTGGCACACTTCACTGACACTGACAGATAAAGCAATTAGTAGTAGTAGTAGCTTTTCACATTAAATTCTAAACGAAATGAAACTTATTTTATTATACAATCCCTTCACGTAACTATGACAGGTAAAATCAAGAATAACACACACTGAAATTAACCGATTTCACCATGAGCTGACATCGGTTAGAGAACCTACCATTGAAGAACCTGGTAGCACTAGACAACTGTTTCGTCCCAGTTTGGGACTCGTCGATAACGTTGGATAGTGGTCGAGCTGTATTGTGAATTATTGGCAGAAGTTCGAACTCATCGGATCCTAGTGGCTTAATGGTCTACGAGCTCGCCGCCTTGAAACCGGGAGGTCGTGTGGGTTAGAACCCTGGCAGTGAGTGCGTGCTGATGAAGAGTCCCAAAACTAGGACCATAGTGATAGCTGTCCAGTATTCCCTACAGACTTTCCAATGGTTCTCTAACCGATGTCAGCTCATGATGAAATCCTGTAGCCAATCAAATCAAATCTCTGCGAAAACCCAACACTTGGAATTAATCGAGTTGTCAAATGACTAATGACCTGCAACTTCGTATAGTAATACCATTTTGCACATACATCAGTGTGAGGGCAAAGGATTTCCTAACTATCCAACTTTCTCATTCCCCTCTAACCAATTTTTTCCACTAAATATACAACATTAAATAATGTTTTGTTGATCTGTTTCCCGCAAGAAAACCCTGTTACTTAAACTATTGAATACAGGAAATCAATTCATCAACACACCAGAATATCAATTTCTCACAGAGGACGAACTACCTGCATTGGTTGTGTAGGGATTTAGTTTGATTGGATGGAAGATTTCATCATGAACTGACATCAGTTAGAGAACCACTGGAAAACCTGCGGGGAGTACTGGACAGTTGTTTCGTCCTAGTTTGGGACTCTTCATCAGTACGCACCCAAAATGCGGGGTTCGAACTCAGGACCTTCTGGTTACAAGGCGAGCGAGCTCGTAGACCATTGAGCTACTGGGACCCGATCCAATGGCCAACGAACTCTAACGAAACAACTGTCCAGTACTCCCAGGTTTTCCAGTGGTTCTCCAACTGATGTCAGCCCTCATGATGAAATCCTCCATCCAATGAAGCATATTTATCCAGAACCGTCTTAAACGGGATGTCAGTGAAACTCACTACTAAGTGAGATGACGTACCAAGTGAATTACAATATTTCTCAGGGAATATTAATGTGCGGACTACTCGAAATCTAAGCTACCTTTGAAAATATGACATCTATGCTTTAAATAATGTATAACGAATATATATATATATATATTCACTGGAGTTCTTTACTTTCTTAAGTACCTGGACGATAAAACTCACTAACCGTTGAAAAGAAGACTTTTAAAAGGCTATTAGTACTATAATACATCTTCACCGCTAACCCACCTGTCAATAAAATGGAAAACATATGAGGTTTACCAAAGCAACCTAAGTTATAAATATCACAGTAGCACTATTCATTGGATAAAGACGCTGAAATCGCCATCAAAGGTCCGGCAGAATAACATACACTGAAGTGCTGCTTTACAGTTGTGTCTTTGAGTCTACATTTTATTAGCTCAAATATTTCGTATCTGCACTGGATGCAGAACTCCACCTGCCGGAACAAGCTGGCTTCAGGAAAGGCAACTCTACACACCATCATCATCGAACAAAGCATAGAATGGCTGTCAAACGTCTAACTTAACTTCATCGACTTCGAAAAGACAACGGCTTCGACAGAGTTGACCGAGAAGTAATTTGGAAACTGCTATAACACTTAGGAGTGTGCAGTGCCCCAAATCTTTATCAGCCTCATTCAACAGCTGGCTGGCTATATATGACAATGCCACATGTCAGGTGATTCACAACAGAAAATTCAATCAAGCCTTTGAAGTGAGTGAATACAGGAGTAAGACAAGGCTGCCTATTGTCACCGATAATATTACTAATTCTGGTGGACTGGATTATGCGCCAGACTGTGCGCAGGGAGTGAGAAGACGAGAAAATGTTAAGCCAATAGGAAGACTATATTAAAGATCTGGATTGCGCGCATCGGTGATTCATGTCTAATGTCACACAAACTCGAAGACTTGTAGGCGGAAACCAACAAACTGGCTGGAGAAGCCGCCAGCAAGGACAGGACTCCGGGTGAACATAGAGAAGACGGGGGTGACGAAGATCATCAACCAACAGCGAAAAAAAACAGCACCAATAAACATCAACTGAAGAAATTTGACAGAGGTTACTTCCTTCACATCATATCCGGCTACGAAGCATCATTTCAGCCAGCTGGACAGGATCGGAAAGGCAAGATACACCCGCATCAACCTGCAATCATTTTGGAAATCCTTTGCACTCCACCTCAGCATAAAGAACAAGATTCACATCTTCAACACAAATGTGAAGTCGGTGAGTCACAGTTTTTCCT